ACAGCCCAAAAACACCCCAAAACAGCCCCAAAACAGCCCCAAAACAGCCCCAAAACAGCCCCAAAACAGCCCAAAAACAGCCCCAAAACAGCCCCAAAACAGCCCCAAAACAGCCACAAAACAGCCCCAAAACAGCCCCAAAACAGCCCAAAACAGCCCCAAAAACAGCCCCAAAAACAGCCCCAAAATTCACCCCAAAAATCGCAAATAAATCCCAAAAATCCCAAACAAATCCCCAATAAATTCCCAAAAATCCCAAATAATTCCCAGAAATCCCCAATAAATCCCAAAAATCCCAAATAAATTCCCCAGAAATCCCCAAAATTTCCCAAAAATCCCAACTAAATTCCCAAAAATCCCCAAAATTCGCCCCAAAAATCCCCAATAAATCCCAAAAATCCCCAAAATTCGCCCCAAAAATCCCCAATAAATTCCCAAAAATCCCCAAAATTCACCCCAAAAATCCCAAATAAATCCCAAAAATCCCAAATAAATCCCAAATAAATCCCAAATAAATCCCAAAAATCCCAAATAAATCCCAAAAATCCCCAAAATTCGCCCCAAAAATCCCAAATAAATCCCAAAAATCCCCAAAATTCACCCCAAAAATCCCCAATAAATTCCCCAAAAATCCCCAATAAATTCCCAAAAATCCCCAATAAATTCCCAAAAATCCCCAATAAATTCCCAAAAATCCCCAATAAATTCCCCAAAAATCCCCAATAAATCCCAAAAATCCCCAAAATTCACCCCAAAAATCCCAAATAATTCCCAAAAATCCCCAATAAATTCCCAAAAATCCCAAATAAATCCCAAAAATCCCAAATAAATCCCAAAAATCCCAAATAAATCCCAAATAAATCCCAAATAAATCCCAAAAATTCCAAAAATCCCAAATAAATTTCAAATAAATCCCAAAAATCCCAAATAAATCCCAAAAATCCCAAATAAATCCCAAATAAATCCCAAAAATCCCCAATAAATTCCCTAAAAATCCCAAATAAATCCCAAAAATCCCAAATAAATCCCAAATAAATCCCCAATAAATCCCAAAAATCCCAAATAAATCCCAAATAAATCCCAAATAAATCCCAAAAATCCCAAATAAATCCCAAATAAATCCCAAAAATCCCCAAAATTCACCCCAAAAATCGCAAATAAATCCCAAAAATCCCCAATAAATTCCCCCAAAATCCCCAAAATTTCCTAAAAATCCCAAATAAATCCCAAAAATCCCCAATAAATTCCCAAAAATCCCAAATAAATCCCAAATAAATCCCAAAAATCCCAAATAAATCCCAAATAAATCCCAAAATTCACCCCAAAAATCCCCAATAAATTCCCAAAAATCCCCAAAATTCACCCCAAAAATCCCCAATAAATCCCAAAAATCCCAAATAAATCCCAAATAAATCCCAAATAAATTCCCAAAAATCCCAAATAATTCCCAAAAATCCCAAATAAATCCCAAAAATCCCCAAAATTCACCCCAAAAATCCCCAATAAATCCCAAAAATCCCCAATAAATTCCCCAAATTCCCCAAAATTCCCCAAATTCCCCAAATTCCCATTTTTTTTTGGGATGTGCAGGAGTCGGATCCCGAGTGTCGGAGCTCAGGGACCCCCCCGGAGCAGGTGAGGAACCCCCGGATTTGGGGAGAAATAAGGAACCCCCGGATTTGGGGAGAAATAATCGGGAAAAAAATTGGGGAAAAATTGGGAAAAATTGGGAAAAATGGGAATTTTCAAGGGGAATTTGGGGGGAAATTTTGGGAATTTTATGGGAATTTTTTGGGGATTTTTTGGGAATTTTATGGGAATTTTTTGGGAATTTTTTGGGGATTTTTTTGGGATTTTCTGGGAATTTTTGGGGGATTTTTTGGGAATTTTTTTGGGATTTTATGGGAATTTTGGGGGGATTTTATGGGAATTTTATGGGATTTTTTGGGAATTTTGGGGGGAATTTATGGGAATTTTATGGGAATTTTGGGGGGATTTTTTTGGAATTTTGGGGGGATTTTATGGGAATTTAGGTGGGATATTATGGGAATTTTGGGGGGATTTTATGGGAATTTTGGGGGGATTTTATGGGAATTTTGGGGGAATTTTATGGGAATTTTTTGTGGATTTTATGGGAATTTTTGGGGGAATTTTTTGGGAATTTTTTGGGAATTTTTTGTGGATTTTTTGGGGATTTTTTGGGAAATTTTGGGGGATTTTTTGTGGATTTTTTGGGAATTTTGGGTGTTTTTGGGTTGTTTTTTGGTGTTTTGGGCTGTTTTGGGGGTGTTTTGGGGTGTTTCTGTTGTCGTTTGGGGTGTTTTGGGGTGTTTTGGGGTGTTTTGGGGTGTTTCTGGGGTGTTTTTGGGGTGTTTTTGGGGTGTTTTTGGGTGTTTTTGGGGTGTTTCTGTTGTGTTTTTGGGCCATTTCTGTTGTGTTTTTGGCTGTTTTGAGGTGTTTTTTGGGTGTTTTGGGCTGTTTCTGGGGTATTTTGGGTGTTTTTTGGGTGTTTTTGGGCTGTTTTTGGGTGTTTTTGGGTGGTTTTGGGTGGTTTTTGGGTGTTTCTGTTGTGTTTTTGGGGTATTTTTGGGTGTTTTTGGGTGTTTTTGGGTGTTTCTGGGCTGTTTTTGGGGTATTTTGGGGTATTTTGGGGTGTTTTGGGGTGTTTCTGGGGTGTTTCTGGGCTGTTTCTGTTGTGTTTTTGGGGTGTTTTTGGGCTGTTTTTGGGTGTTTTTGAGTGTTTTGGGGTGTTTTTTTGTGTTTTGGGGTGTTTCGGGTGTTTTTGGGTGTTTCTGTTGTGTTTTTGGGCCATTTCTATTGTGTTTTTGGCTGTTTTGGGGTGTTTTTGGGTGATTTGGGCTGTTTCTGGGGTATTTTGGGGTGTTTTGGGCTGTTTTTGGGTGTTTTTGGGTGTTTTTGGGTGTTTTTGGGTGTTTTTGGGTGTTTCTGGGGTGTTTTGGGTGTTTTTGGGTGTTTTTGGGCTGTTTCTGGGGTATTTTAGGGTGTTATTGGGTATTTTGGGCTGTTTCTGTTGTGGTTTTGGGTGTTTTTGGGTGTTTTTTGGTGTTTTTGGGTGTTTTTGGGCTGTTTCTTAGGTATTTTGGGTATTTTTGGGTGTTTCTGGGGTGTTTTTGGGCTGTTTTGGGCTGGTTTTGGGTGTTTTTGGGTGTTTTGGGCTCTTTCTGGGCTGTTTTGGGTGTTTTGGGGTGTTTTTGGGCCATTTCTGTTGTGTTTTTGGGCTGTTTCTGGGCTGTTTTGGGGTGTTTTGGGCTGTTTTGGGGTGTTCTGGGGTATTTTGGGGTGTTTTTTGGGCTGTTTCTGGCTGTTTCTGGCTGTTTTGGGCTGTTTCTGGGTGTTTTTGGGCTGTTTCTGGGGTATTTTGGGGTGTTTTTGGGTGTTTTTGGGCTGTTCTGGGGTATTTTGGGCTGTTTTGGGCTGTTTCTGGCTGTTTTGGGCTGTTTTGGGGTGTTTCTGGGGTGTTTTTGGGTGTTTTTGGGTGTTTTTGGGTGTTTCTGGGGTATTTTGGGATGTTTTTGGCTGTTTTTGGGGTGTTTCTGGGGTATTTTGGGGTGTTTCTGGGGTATTTTGGGGTGTTTTTGGCTGTTTTTGGGCTGTTTTTGGGTGTTTTTGGGCTGTTTTTGGGTGTTTCTGGGCTGTTTCTGGGGTATTTTGGGCTGTTTTTGGCTGTTTTTGTTCTGTTTCTGTTGTGTTTTTGGCTGTTTTTGTTCTGTTTTTGGCTGTTTTTGGCTGTTTTTGTTCTGTTTTTGGCTGTTTTTGGCTGTTTTTGGCTGTTTTTGGCTGTTTTTGGCTGTTTTTGTTCTGTTTTGTTCTGTTTTTGGCTGTTTTTGGCTGTTTTTGTTCTGTTTCTGGCTGTTTTTGGCTGTTTTTGTTCTGTTTTTGTTCTGTTTTTGGCTGTTTTTGGCTGTTTTTGTTCTGTTTCTGGCTGTTCCTAACCCCCCCGTCCCCCCCAGTGTCCCCCCCTGCCCTGCCCGGGGCTGTGGCGGCTCCTGGGGGACTGCGAGTCCTGCCTGGCCTTTGGGGGGGAGCCCCCCGAGACCCCCCCGGGCGGCGCCCCCAGACCCAGGTTCGGCTGGTGCGTGCAGAACGACACCTGCGTGCCCCTGGAGGGTGAGAAACGGGGCAAAAAACAGCAAAAATGGGAAAAAACGGGGAAAAAATGGGTAAAAATGGAAAAAAATGGGAAAAAACGGGGAAAATCGGGGTGAAAATGGGTGAAAATGGGATTGTGGTGTGTGCAGAACGACACCTGCGTGCCCCTGGAGGGTGAGAAACGGGGCAAAAACGGGTGAAAACGGGAAAAAACTGGGAAAAATGGGTAAAAATGGGGAAAAATGGAAAAAAATGGAAAAAAATGGGGAAAATTGGGGTGAAAATGGGGAAAATTGGGGTGAAAATGGGGAAAATTGGGGTGAAAATGGGTGAAAATGGGATTGTGGTGCGTGCAGAACGACACCTGCGTGCCCCTGGAGGGTGAGAAACGGGGGAAAAACGGGTGAAAATGGGAAAAAATGGATAAAAATGGACAAAAAATGGGAATAAATGGAAAAAAATGGGGAAAATTGGGGTGAAAATGGGGAAAATTGGGGTGAAAATGGGCTAAAAAATGAGATAAAAATGGTCAAAAATGGGGAAAATGGGCAAAAATGGGGAAAAATGGGCAAAAATGGGCAAAAATGGGGAAAAATGGGGAAAAATGGGGAAAAATGGGGAAAAATGGGGAAAAATGGGGAAAAATGGGGTGAAAATGGTCAAAAATGGGCAAAATGGATAAAAATGGGGAAAAATGGGGAAAAATGGGGCAAAAATGGGCAAAAATGGGGCAAAAATGGGCAAAAATGGGGAAAAATGGGCAAAAATGGGGAAAAATGGGATAAAATGTAATAAAAATGGGAAAAAATGGGGAAAATGGGCAAAAATGTGGCAAAAATGGGTAAAAACGGGAAAAAATGGTCAAAAATAGGCAAAAATGGGGTAAAAATGGTCAAAAATGGAATAAAAATGGGCAAATATGGGTATATTGGGATAAAAATGGGCTAAAAAACGAGATAAAAATGGGCAAAAATGGATAAAAATGGGCAAAAATGGTAAAAAATGGGGGAAAAATGGGGAAAAATGAGGCAAAAATGGGGAAAAATGGGGAAAAATGGGGGAAAATGGGGAAAAATGTGGCAAAAATGGGGAAAAATGGGGCAAAAATGGGCAAAAATGGGGAAAACTAGGCAAAAATGGGATAAAAATGGGAGAAAAATGGGGAAAAATGGGGAAAAATGTGGCAAAAATGGGAGAAAAATGGGGCAAAATGGGGAAAAATGTGGCAAAAATGGGGAAAAATGGGATAAAAATGGTCAAAAATGGAATAAAAATTGTCAAAAATGGATAAAAATGGGGAAAAATGGGGAAAAATGTGGCAAAAATGGGCAAAAATGGGCAAAAAAATGGGGTTGGGGCTGATTTTTGGGGCGTTTTTTTGCTTTTTTTGGTATTTTATTCCATTTTTTTGGGGGAATTTTTCGGTTTTTGGGGTTTTTGGGGCTGCCTGATTGGTTTTTGTGCCCCCCAGAGCGCTCCCGCTGTCGGGTGGGGCAGATTTCGGGGACCCACGGCTGGTGGGGACCCCGAGCTGAGTTCCTGACGGAGCTGGAGCAGTGTCGGAGCCGCGCCGTGCCACCGGGGCTGCACCTGCTCACCTTTCAGCACCCCAAAAACGAGTCCCAGCCCGACAAGGTGAGCACCCCAAAAAATCCAGGGGGAAATTCCAGCTGGGAAAGGCCCGGAATCACCCAGAGAATAAAAAAAATCCCATGAAAATCGGTGAAAATCCCACTAAAATAGGTAAAAATCCCATTAAAATAGGTAAAAATCCCATTAAATCCTATTAAAATGGGGGAAAATCCCATTAAAATAGGTAAAAATCCCATTAAATCCTATTAAAATGGGGGAAAATCCCATTAAAATAGGTAAAAATAGCATTAAAATTGGTAAAAATCCCATTAAAATGGGGAAAATCCCATTAAATCCCATTAAAACAGGGGAAAATCCCATTTAATCTCAATAAAATAGAGAAAAATCCTATTAAACCCTATTAAAATTGGTAAAAATCCCATCAAATCCCATTAAAATTGAGAAAAATCCCATTAAAACAGGGGAAAATGCCATTTATTCCCATTAAAATGCCCCAAAACGAGTCCCAGCCCGACAAGGTGAGCACCCCAAAAAATCCAGGGGGAAATTCCAGCTGGGAAAGGCCCGGAATCACCCAGAGAATAAAAAAAATCCCATGAAAATCCCATTAAATCCCATTAAAATGGGTAAAAATCCCATTAAAATCGGTGAAAATCCCATTAAATAAGGTAAAAATCCCATTAAAATCGGTGAAAATCCCATTAAATCCCATTAAAATGGGGGAAAATCCCATTAAAATAGGTAAAAAATCCCATTAAATCCTATTAAAATGGGGGAAAATCCCATTAAAATAGGTAAAAATCCCATTAAAATCGGTGAAAATCCCATTAAAATCGGTGAAAATCCCATTAAAATGGGTAAAAATTCCATTAAAATTGGTAAAAATCCCATTAAATCCCAATAAATTTGGTAAAAATCCCATTAAAATGGGGGGAAATCCCATTAAAATAGGGGAAAATCCCATTAAAATTGGTAAAAATCCCATTAAAATTGGTAAAAATCCCATTAAAATGTGGGAAATTCCCATTAAATCCCATTAAAATAGAGAAAAATCCCATTAAAATAGGTAAAAATAGCATTAAAATTGGTAAAAATCCCATTAAAATGGGGAAAATCCCATTAAATCCCATTAAAACAGGGGAAAATCCCATTTAATCTCAATAAAATAGAGAAAAATCCTATTAAACCCTATTAAAATTGGTAAAAATCCCATCAAATCCCATTAAAATTGAGAAAAATCCCATTAAAACAGGGGAAAATGCCATTTATTCCCATTAAAATGCCCCAAAACGAGTCCCAGCCCGACAAGGTGAGCACCCCAAAAAATCCAGGGGGAAATTCCAGCTGGGAAAGGCCCGGAATCACCCAGAGAATAAAAAAAATCCCATGAAAATCGGTGAAAATCCCACTAAAATAGGTAAAAATCCCATTAAAATAGGTAAAAATCCCATTAAATCCTATTAAAATGGGGGAAAATCCCATTAAAATAGGTAAAAATCCCATTAAAATCGGTGAAAATCCCATTAAAATCGGTGAAAATCCCATTAAAATGGGTAAAAATTCCATTAAAATTGGTAAAAATCCCATTAAATCCCAATAAATTTGGTAAAAATCCCATTAAAATGGGGGGAAATCCCATTAAAATAGGGGAAAATCCCATTAAAATTGGTAAAAATCCCATTAAAATTGGTAAAAATCCCATTAAAATGTGGGAAATTCCCATTAAATCCCATTAAAATAGAGAAAAATCCCATTAAAATAGGTAAAAATAGCATTAAAATTGGTAAAAATCCCATTAAAATGGGGAAAATCCCATTAAATCCCATTAAAATGGGGGGAAATCCCATTAAATCCCATTAAAACAGGGAAAAATCCCATTTAATCTCAATAAAATAGAGAAAAATCCTATTAAACCCTATTAAAATGGTTAAAAATCCTATTTATTCTCATTAAAATGCCCCAAAAACGAGTCCCAGCCCGACAAGGTGAGCACCCCAAAAAATCCCCCAAATTCACCCCAAAAAGTCACAAAAAATCCCCAAAAATTCAAAAAAATCCACAAAAAAAAATCCTCAAAAATCCCCAAAAAATCCTCAAAAATCCCCAAAAAGTCCCAAAAAAATCCCCAAAAAATTCACCCAAAAATCCCCAAAAAATCCCCAAAAAATCTCAACAAATCCCAAAAAGTCCCCCCAAAAAATCCCAAAAGCCCCCAAAAAATCTCCCAAAAATTCCCCTAAAAATCCCTAAAAACTCCTCAAAAAAACCCCCAAAAATCCCCAAAAAATCCCATAAAAATCCCCCAAAATCCCAAAAAATCCCCAAAAAATCCCCCAAAATCCCCCCAAAAATCCCCAAAAAATCCCCCAAAATCCCCCCAAAAATCTCAGAAAATCCCAAAAAATCTCCCAAAAATCCCCCCAAAAA